CCTTAACAGCAACCCAGTAATGAGTCCAAGGGAATTTCCGAAGGTGCGCACACTTCATGACTTCATGTCTATAGGAGGAGGCGACTGGTATCGACTGAGGAGGCATGTCAAGATGTCCCTTTTTGTTTGCGCCAGTGCTAGGAGCGCCGCAAAGCTCTCCAAGGGGCGAAGGCAGGTTGAATCCTGTGATGGTAGGCTTCTCGGACCGCTTCTAACGTGCTCTACTTGAAAGCATGGTTAAAGTGTGCATAGGACTTGGTAGTTTTGTAGACCTCTATGGCCTTTGGGGGATGCAGGCGGATGAAGCAGCTGAGCAGCAAGCCAATGAAGAGGTGCCAAGTTGTCGCTAAAGGACGTCAGTAACCTGCTGCATGTGGACAGGAGAACAGGAGTCGCAGCCGCTCCCGTTCGCCATCGCTTTCGGACTTGGTGCCGCCAGCCAAGTTCTTATCGGAGGAAGAGCAACCATATGCCATGCCAAGTCAGAAAGGAAGCCAACCACTGCTAAATGACTAGGCTGTTGAGAAACCCGTTCAAAACAAGTTGTTCCGCATCGTAGTTTCCCAAAATCAGGGTACCCCAATATATACTCCAATATACTATAGTCCTTATTATAGGAACCCCCCAAAAAAAGTTCCCTTGATTGTGGGAAACCACCACATAGTTCACTCCCTGTCCGCAACAGGAAGCGGCTTTGGAGATGGACTCCGGGCCATCCCAGACTTCGGCTCAACCCTCACCAGGCCAGGGTTTGATGACAGGGAAGCCTTGCAGATCGGGAAACTTGTGGACGTGTTAATGTATGCTGGGTTGCTGTTAAGGAACTTAGGTTAAGTTATTATTATATGGGGAAACCACATTAATTACAACATATACCCATTATGGTAACTTAATTTAAATAGGTGATGCGCATGCGTGCTATGAGAAAGGCGTGCCGCCAGCAGCCAACGCATCAAGTGCGATCAGCACCGTCGCCTGGATGAAATCTAAAAGGATACTGCGGGTCAGCACCCTTGGTCTCACGTCCTTTTGGTCTCCAACTCTGGCGTCTGTAGGAGTTCTGACCAGCCGATTTTGTTCAAAGTCCAAGGTGCCTAGTGCGTTCCCGCCTCCACCGCCGCTGCTACCGCCTCAGCTGCGATTGTAGCTATAGATATGTCTTGTCCTATTAGTTTAGGGGTCTTGAAGGGAGTCCCCAAATCTTCCTCTTGAGCTGAGTAACTGTTAGGGCTTCAGTGCACACCTTGGAGAAGCCCCTAACGAGGCCACCTGGATGGCCAGCCCAGGTCAGGGCCTTGTTCGGTACTGTTTGAAGTTTCTCGGGAGGATGATCCCTCAAGGAGACATAGAAGAGGGGGCACCATATAATGGGTTATATAGGGTATATATTGGGTTTATATTGGGGTTATATAGGGATAATGGAAAAGAAAATGGAAACTACTATATTATTATAGGTAGAAAAGACACATGTTTTGAGAGAATCGCGTTTGAGTATGGCAGTTATGATGGGCTTGCCAACGTTGTTTTGTAATCTGTTGTCCCATGGCTCCGCACGCGAGCATACATCCTCTGGAAGCGCCCTGGGGAGTCAGAAGTCTCTGAGTGTGCCGGCGCTGGCCCAAGTTAGGTTGGGCTGCCTTTGCCCATCAACAGAGATATACAGCGAGGGATGTGCCCAACCGTTTCATGACAGAACATGCCGTGCAAAGTTGGCAGCAGACAGCTCTGCGCAAGAGACACTTTTGTAGCAACCAGGTACACTTTCCCATGTGGCAGACGCTAGACTGACTGCAGTTCCCCGCATTTTGCTTTTGTGGAGCTGCGATGTCGCTGGAAACTGATCTTACAGAGGCACGCGAAGTGTAGAGCAAGAGGACTGTAGATCGTTACCATGTAACATCTTGCTTGCAGCCATGATGCACGGGCAGTGTGAGGATTGCCCTCACAAGCCACTTGGGCAGGAAGACACGACGGAGGAGTCTGAAGATGAGACCCTAGCTGATGAGCCTGAGGATGAGCCATCAAGGCCAGGGGTCAAGACTTAGGTCAAGCCTGATACCCTGCAGCCTGTACAGCTTGTGGATTTCGCATTGATTGCAGAAGCTGTCGCATGATCGCACAGTCAGATTGTCATCAGATGAGTGCAAGGGTTTTTGGCCTGAGAAGAGTGAAGATTGCTGGCGTCGAAGCGGCATTCACGGCACGTGTGCAACAGGAAGCTGCTCAATCAAGCTCATGAATTCCAGCTGTTTTTTGGAGTGATGTTGCCCCTCTTCAGACCCACTTGCTGCCGGTTTCTGAAGACACACTGAACCAGGAGAAAGGAATCGAGGCCTCTCTTTTTCAGGCCTATAACGGCCTGGAGAAGGTTCAGGGGCGAACGAAGGGGGGCGGCGCAAAGGTACACTACCCCATGAGCCTTTGACAGGGTTCGTCTAAGGCACCCCCGCCTTCGTCAAACCTCCCTTTTCCTTCGTCAAGGTTCGTCAAGAGTTCTGCCAGCTTGACAAGGTTCGTCAAGGGTGAGGGAGACCACCCACGAGCCTTTGACAAAGTTCATAAAAGGCCCCGCTCCTTCGTCAAACCCTCCTTTTCCTTCGTCAAGGTTCGTCCAGGGTTCTCTGGGGGTCGTCCCTTCAGTTGCCCCCTAAAGTAAGGTCTTAGAACAATTGCTGCAGAGCACATCCCAACAGGACCCCTTTGCGGAAGGCCAGCCCTTGCACTAGCTTTCGTGTCGGTCCCTCGCCCTCAAGCCTCCATTGCAGTTGCAGCCAGCGCACAATGTGTAAACCATGCAGGCCTGCTTCCTCACTTTTGCAGCGCAGCGAACCTTGGCTTTGTCATGGAGACTCTAGTAGTGTTGGCTATGTCAAAGCTGGGCGAAGGGCTCCTCGCGCCTTGTACATCGCAGAAGAACGTTTTGACCCGGCGTATGTCTGGCCCTGGCTGCAAGCTCAGGTCTTTGCTATGGCTGGTGTTTGCGCAATGGGCCTTGTCATTTTCGTGATGCCTGGCTCGAACAAACAGGCACGAAGTAGTGCTTCGTAAGAACTGTCCGACTCGAATCAGCCCGTCCTCATGCGAGCAGCTCTGATGCTAGCTAGTGGTCTGACTTGGCAGGCTTTTCGCTACCAGCTTGAAGCCAAACCGCAGCTGACAGGGCTCCAGGAGATGCAGACTGATGCGCCATTTGGCACCGTGCTTCGGCAACTAAGGTTGAAGTCTGTAGTACAGACTGGGTGACAGGTTGTCACGGGTGGGTAGCGCCGTTCTGTGGTGCTTTGAAAGGTTCCTGACGCAGCTTATTCAGGGGTGTCCATAAGGGAAAGCCTGCAAATTGTGGCATGGCCCAGGAGCAGGGAGAGTCTTCAGAATTCCGGTCGAATGCCTCCTCAAGACCGCTTACAGGCTTACTGGTGTCTAGGAGAGTTCGTCCTCTTGAGCTGCTACAGGTCGACGCAGGCATCTACACATATGGAGCCCCTGGATCGGCTAACCCAGCATTGCCAGATCTCAGTCACAAGGACGACGCATCTGTGGCATCACTTGCCTGTGATAGCATTATGAGTGAAGGGCAGCCGCCTTGTAAAGGCAGATGTAGCCTTGTCACATCTGCAGTCCAAAGCGATAAGTTGATCAAGGACGGCTGCTTTGCTGGATTGCGTACCTGGACGGAGGCCCTCAGCGTGCTGCAGCATAATTCATGCAGCGGCCTCTTGTTTGTTTTCTTGCACGAATCCCCGTGCTGGCACTGCAGGACGTGTTGACGCCAGCCACGAAGGAGGTTGATGCAGCTGCAATCTCTGACCAGTTGGACCATCCACAAGTGCCTTGCATGAACGAAGATGCCATTCAGCGAGCTGGCGGAAATTACAGCAACGACTGCAGTTTTCGTTAGAGGATATGCAAGGCCACTACGTATCAGAGATGTCTAGCACCCAGCAGCTGCTTTTCTGAATTTCCTGCTGTGGAGACCAAGGTGGCCACACTGCGTCTTCACGCTGAGTTTCTTGATTGTCAAGATGATGCCCGTAGGGATGCATGGTGTGATTTGGGAAGGGGATCAGATAGACATGGTATAGACTCAGAAAGACAATCAGAAGATGCTTCTCAGGTCAGAAAACTCTCACTTTGCCCAGTGCCCCGGAGAAGTGCATCAGCCCTTTTCCAAAGGCAACCAATTTGCGGTGCCTAGTCGCATGCAGACATTCATATGTGATCGTTTCCGCCTTTTTGGTGGGCTCACCGCTGCGCCTGCTGCCGCTGCTGCATGCTGCTGCCACGACTTCCACTGATGCTTTAGGGCTGCTACTACTTGCTTCTGCTCTGACTTACTCTTCTTCTTATTACTATAGCAACAACAACAATTACTGCTACTACTACTCCTACGGCACTTCCAGGAGCAGCAGCAGCAGCAGCAGCAGCAGCAGCAGCAGCAGAAGAAGAAGAAGAAGAAGCACCAGCACCAGCAGCAGAAGCACCAGCACCAGCAGCAGAAGCACCAGCAGCAGCAGCAGCAGCAGCAGTAGCAGCAGCAGCACCAGCACCAGCAGCAGCAGCACCAGCACCAGCAG